TAGGGACGGCTAGCGCAGATAGCCCTCGTGTAGCTTTGCGCGAAATTCAAAAACAAACAAACAAATGAAAAAAAATACAGAAATTTTAAAAACTACCGTACAAAATATTACTACTATTAAGTAATATGAGTAACAGCAATTAACATGGTAAAATTAATGGGGGACAACAATACGCATGTGCAGAAAGAGAGGGCTCCATAAAATAAAATAAAAAGTGTACCACTGGTATGTAATACTTCAATAAACAGATAATATACGAGCTTACAAAATAAAATGAAATTTTGTTGTGCTAAATGTTTGCTGTCTCGAATAGTTTGTTCCTGTTATACCTACTCACGCAACTATATGCCTACAGACCAGCAGCTCTAAGGTTGCTGTACAAAGCATACAGCATTAATGATTATTGCTTTAGAAAGTACGGTTTAACATGCTTTTTTTTTTCTTTCTTTTAAACTAACGTTGTTCATTTCTAGATAGTGATTACAGTAACTCGAAACGGAGTAGACTCCATAAAGACCTATATCTGTAAAGCCTACTTTTCCTCAAATTACCTTAAATTTGTTTATAATTCGGTATCAGGCGGTATCGATATAAACACTAATATATAAATGGATAGGTGGGTAGGTAGATAGACAGACGAATGGTTAACGGTAATTCTTGTCAAATATAAAACTATCTTGAAAAAAGTCACCAGGTAGCATTGTTGGAATAAATTTGATTTTACAAGTGGCGAGTGAGTTGTAAGAGAGACAATAAACACCATTAAGCCCGGCTTGGTCAGGTGGTTAGGGCGCTCGACTCGCACTATGAGAGTCACGGGTCAGAATCCCCGGCCAACCAAACATGCTCGCCCTTTCAGCCGTGCGGGCATTATAATGTGACGGTCAATCCTACTATTTGTTGATAAAAGAGTAGCCCAAGAGTTGGCGATGGGTGGTGATGACTAGCTGCCTTCCCCTCTAGTCTTTCACTACTAAATTAGGGACGTCTAGCGCAGACAGCCCTGGTGTAGATTTGCGCGAAATTCAAAACAAACAAATCGTCTAGAATAAGAGAGATGTAATTACTACTATGTTAATGTTCGTTTCGCGTTGATATTATTAACGAGTAGTCGTTGCAAGCGGTGGGTGCTGGTCGTCTTCCCTCTGATTCCAAGTTTGAGGACAGATTACTGTAACAAATCTCTCACTGCTTATATTATAGTGAAAATACAGCTCACCCAAGGAAGTTGGTGTGGAACTCCTTGTTAAGTAAAGGGAGTTTGTTCTACCTGTCATTTTATCTCCATTTTGATCATCTACACTTCTGTTCTTAAGTTCCATCTTGTCACTACCAAGAAAAGCGGGAAAAAATTAAAAGATGTAACAACTCAGTAGTATAGTAAACCTACAAATTTATTACATTTATACTTATAAATATGGAGAATTAATCGCATCTAATAAAAACGACTTTCATTTGCTGCAGAAATGGTGCGTCGTCTCAGAAACAAGCTATAGCACCACGGACGACATGTATAGCGCCTTCAGTATTATTTGGTTCACGCGAATTCCTTTCCACTAGAAGTGAAATCCTTCCAGGTTAGACTTATGACTGGAGGATTTTTAGGAGTTGTTTTTCGGAGAAAGATATCCGTAAGGTGATATTGGTAAACAATATAAATATAAAGAATCCTCATTGTTACCCATGAAAACGGAAAAAAACTTGCACAGCACAGTACTTACGACAACTTACGTTTCAAATCTATATTCCAAGCCAATCTGGTTCAATGTCCTCGTTCGCAAAGTGAGGCTGTGGTTACGAAAAAGAGCCATTCCACTCAAAAAAGCTGAGCACATCTTTTGGTGCTGTTTAAGTTTAATAAATAACTATTTGTAGTTCGTGACAGCTCAAAAGGCAAAATGCTCACAAGAATTCAGCTGCATCTATAAATCAATGACTGTTTTCATGAAAAAAGATGACTGAAGTAATTGGAATTATAAAAACCTATTCGACCACATCTCTGTTTAGTTCCTCGAATGACATTTGTGTCTTTGATCTACTTACACGTGTTATTGGAAGCCGATGTCCAACTAAGAGAGAGGGTCTGTGGAAGATTTGCCAGATGTGTGATCTAAGCTTGACACCAGTATCCTTCGCAGAAGCTTGCTATAACATAAACTGCAGTATCTGGCAATACTGCGCAATCGTGAAGATCAAACTGAGCATGCTCAACGACGACGAAAGTAGTTCCAGAATGAATAATGTAAAGCATATTACAGTTTTAATTTAATTTGAAACTTAGGCGCCTAAAACCAAATTATGACGCCAGTGCTATAACATATCCTGCTTAATGCTAACTAGAACATACACAACAATGACAAAAACAACATCTAAAACCGAATAGCGATGACGCCAGTGCTATAACATATCCTGCTTAACGCTAACTAGAACATATACAACAATGACAAAAACGACATCTAAAACCGAATAGCGATTAAATGTATTTGTCGATTGATGTAAAGCTTTCTGATTTCAACTAAAACTTTTCAAAACTGAAGTTTTATTTTAACCAAACGGCCAAAAGCTAGTTTTTTGTTTGTTTGTTTATCACTTAATAAGTTTTAAATCCTATTTTACAGCCCCCCCTCCCAGTGGCACAGCGGTATGCCTGAGGACTTACAACGCTAGACAGTGGGTTTCGATACCCGTGGTGAGCAGAGCACATATAGCCCATTGTGTAGCTTTGTGCTTAATTACAAACAAACCTATTTTACATTTCCAAGGCTACCACTTCGTCAGAAAGTTCCTAATATCGTTGTAGCCTGTTTGAAGGTTTTTGCATATTTCATACATATAGAAAGGTTCCGTGTTTTTTTTAATTAGAACGTTACTCGTGGCAAAACAGACGGTGATAGATAAAATAGATTGAATCGCCTAAGTTTACAAGTTGCTTTTCGTGTTCTAAATTTTCAGTGCTCGCCCTCTAGCTGTGTGGATTTTAATGACACCATACATCGTTCGTGACAGCTATGAATAATACAGCTTACTTTTAAACTTGTCACGTGGTTTAACCAAAATATATGTTTTCTTGTAGATGGTTGTTATGAAATGTTTTTATGTTTATACCTCAGATTGATAAGTTTTATGTCGAAAAGTGGGTTCTGTTTCAGACTGTAAAGAAAACTTCGATCGATTCTACTACTATATATATATATATATATATATATATATA